TACAAAGCTACAGTAATCAAGACAATATGGCACTGGCACAAAAACAGAAACATAGATCAATGGAACAAGATAGAAAGCCCAGAGATAAACCCATGCACCTATGGTCAACTAATCTATGACAAAGTAGGCAAGGATATACAATGGAGAAAAGACAGTCTCTTCAGTAAGTGGTGCTGGGAAAACTGGACAGCTACATGTAAAAGAGTGAAACTAGAACACTTCCTAACACCATACACAAAAATAAACTCAAAATGGATTCGAGACCTAAATGTAAGACAGGCCGCTATAAAACTCTTAGAGGAAAACATAGAAAGAACACTCTTTGACATAAATCACAGCAAGGTCTTTTTTGATCCACCTCCTAGGATAATGGAAATAAAAACAAAAATAAACAAATGGGACCTAATGAAACTTCAAAGCCTTTGCACAGCAAAGGAAACCATAAACAAGACAAAAAGACAACCCCCAGAATGGGAGAAAATATTTGCAAACGAATCAACGGACAAAGGATTAATCTCCAAAGTATATAAACAGCTCATGCAGCTCAATATTAAAGAAACAAACAACCCAATCCAAAACTGGGCAGAAAACCTAAATAGACATTTCTCCAAAGAAGACATACAGATGGCCAAGAAGCACGTGAAAAGCTGCTCAGCGTCACTAATTATTAGAGAAATGCAAAGCAAAACTACAGTGAGGTATCACCTCACACCAGTTAGAATGGGCATCATCAGAAAATCTACAAACAACAAATGCTGGAGAGGGTGTGGAGAAAAGGGAACCCTCTTGCTCTATTGGTGGGAATGTAAATTGATACAGCCTCTATGGAGAACAGTGTGGAGGTTCCTTAGAAAACTAAAAATAGACTTACCATATGATCCAGCAATCCCACTACTGGGCATATACCCAGAGAAAACCATAATTCAAAAAGACATGGCACCCCAGTGTTCATTGCAGCACTATTTACAATAGCCAGGTCACGGAAGCAACCTAAATGCCCATTGACAGACGAACGCATAAAGAAGATGTGGTACATATATACAATGGAATATTACTCAGCCATAAAACGGAACAAAATTGGGTCATTTGTTGAGATTTGGATGGACCTAGAGACTGTCATACAGAGTGAAGTAAGTCAGAAAGAGAAAAACAAATATCGTATATTAACGCATGTATGTGGAACCTAGAAAAATGGTACAGATGAACCAGTTTGCAGGGCAAAAGTTGAGACACAGATGTAGAGAACAAATGTATGGACACCAAGCGGGGAAAGCCGCATGGGGGCAGGGATGGTGGTGTGCTGAATTGGGCGATTGGGATTGACATGTATACACTGATGTGTATAAAATTGATGACTAATAAAAATCTGCTGTATACAAAAATAAATAAAATATAATTCAAAAATTCAAAGAAAAAAAGTAAATGACAGGACTTCCCTGGTGGCGCAGTGGTTAAGAATCTGCCTGCCAATGCAGGGGACACGGGTTCGAGCCCTGGTCCGGGAAGATCCCACATGCCGCGGAGCAACTAAGCCTGTGCGTCACAACTACTGAGCCTGTGCTCTGGAGCCAGTGAGCCACAAATACTGAAGCCTGTGCTCCTAGAGCCCGAGCTCCGCAACAAGAGAAGCCACCGCAATGAGAAGCCCCCCACCACCACACACACACAAAAACGTTATCTTGGTAACAAATTAGACCTTGACAAGTACATGAAGGCATCGATTTTTATCTAGAATGTTCATTTGCCATTTGAACAGGCTTTCAGCAAGCTATTTAACATTTTTACTACATTCAAAACCTTTTCACCAAAAATACATTGGGGAGATGTGCATAAATATCATACTATCAAATTAAAATTAAATTAATATTTTTATGTTTATCATAGTGCATATGCATTTATACATGTCCATGTTAATCTTCCAACATCATGACATTACTTTATACCTTTGTCTGTACAACAGCTTGGCTTTCTTATAAGACAATATTAACCAAGATAAGAAAAAAGGATGAAAAAGGCCTTGTATATTGTTCCCAGAGAGTCTGTTGTGACTTGTTTACAAACTCTATTTTTGGTGCAAACTGTTAGCTAGTATATTGATTTATTATTTATTTTTAAAACCCCAGTGATTTTAATCTTTACTATTGACATCAAATCTCCAATAACTTGCCTTTAAAGATTCTCTTTGCTTTAAATTAGAAAGTATGTAGCTCCAGGAATTTACATCAATTACCAATTCATGGATGCCAAAGAAAGCCAGGATTTTGTATTTTCTTTCTAATGCAACTTTTGTCCAAAGGATCTGACTTTGTATAGTGGTAGAAATAAATAAAAAGTAATAGCAGTGTACTATTTCCAGTTTGCAACAGGCCCTGAACTTTTATAGCAAAATGATAGTCTTTATATAGGAAAAGGGGCTATCATGGTCAGCTTGGGTCCTGTTTCACTATCTAGAATTCCAAAGGAGCTATTTCAGCAAAACATAACTCATACTGTATTTTGCACTTCTTTCTAGGTTTGGACGAGGATTTACCGTCAAGGTTCACGTGAAGAATGTCAAAGTGAGCATGGAGCCCCTCACAAGGTTCATGCAACTTCACTTTCCAAAAACATACTTAAAAGTAAGAGATTGACTGGTTTTGATAGCTATAATCTAATATTGTAGTGGATGTTTGTCATTTTCAAGCTGACCATAGCCTTGTTATTCATCAATGTATATTTATTAGTTCAAGATGCTTAAGATACTCTGAAGCACACTTAGTATTAACAGATAAAATCTTCAAATTAGTTATATATTTTTGTAGCTACTTAAGAGTAACATAGTCCTTTTACATACCTTTATTTCTTCCTCACAAAGGCTTTATGACCGTATTGTATTACTTTTCAGGTTGTATGCTTAACTAGATTATTAGTTACATATGTTAGGGAATTGAGGAATGACAGATACATATGACCAAGGGCATTTCTTCTAAGAAAAAAAAAATTACAAATTTCCAGAATGTCGCAGCTAGAAGAGATTATCTCCTTTGCTTTCCTCACTTGAAAGATAAGCCCACAAAGTTTTGAGCAGAATTGCTTGGAAATCAAGTTCTTAAATCACACACTACTTGAAACATTGCTCAATTAATTTCATCTTACATATACATATCAACAGGATGGACACACACAGATATATACATATAAATCTCACATAGTACATATTTAAATGCACTTGACAAAAAAATTATCATTGTAACATCTTTGATGTGCAGGTAATTGATATAAGATGATTATAGCAAGTGATTGTTTTTAAACGGAAGTCAGGTGTGGAATGATGAACAGAAATTGGAAGACTTGGGCTGAGGTCCAGCTCTGCCTATGTGATTTCCAGCAAGACATTTAAAGTCTCTGAGCCTCGTATTCCTATTTTACAAATACTGTTGATATCTACTTCACAAGACTGGTGTGAGAACTAAATGATAAAATGTCCACAAAGATGCTTCATAAACTGTCAGGCACCATATTAACGTGAAGTGATTTTGGAGAGCAAAATAGAGTCCCTTTTTAAAAACAATTCTTTTATCTCTACAAAATACCTTTGCCTCAACCTCTGATTCTTATCAAAGTCCATTTTCTATCATCTAAATTAAAATCAAATTTAAAAATTAAAGGACACTTTTTTTTTCTTTTTTTTTTTTTTTTTTCACAAACCACGTTGGTCATAGTACTTCTTCTTTCAGTGAACTTCTGGGTTGAAATCTGTGTTTATTCACTGAGTGATGAGATTACATTTGCCCTGGTCTGTTCTTCAGGGGACTAGCGCTATACAAGACAAGTGCAGTGATGATAAAAGTTTGATTACTTCCTAAGCAGACCATTCTCTACAAGTATGTGATGGTTTCTAGATCTCTAAAAGGGAAATAACCAAACAACAATTTGGGAGTAAAAATAAGTATCGATAAGATAGCCTGATTGCACTGACAGGTATGATGTAAACACAAATCAATGAGAGGGGCTAGACAGCGAGCAAAGGAGTGAGAAGAGGGGTTTCCAGTAACGCAGGTCTGGAATACCAGGCTGCAATATACAATCTTGATCTGATCAATATAGGTTACAGGGATTGTTTATGGAGTAAAAAAAACATCCTGACCAAACTAGTGTTTAGGAAAGATTATCCTAGCTACTTTCTGCCAGAACATATGAGTGTATATGGTTTCTAAGCTTCTGAAGAGGCTGTTGCAATAACTCAGATGTGGAGTGATGAGCAGCAAGTTAGTAAAATTGATGGTGCAGATAGAGAGGAAAGGTTACATTTGAGAGTTATTTTAGAGGAAAAATAAATAAGATATGATAATTGATGAAATATGCAGAAAAGCAAAATGTTGAAGATACTCCAAGGAAATAAGAATAGATTACTAAATTGATGGTGATACTACAGACTAAATAAACTGAAAAGTATTTTAGAGTGAGTTAAGAAAGAATGTAGCATTATTTGAATGAGGTTTCTCATAGACAATGCTTTTGAAATCTGGCAACTATAGCCAATATAAATTGAACAGCTAATCCTTAGCCTTTTAGAACAATTTTAACATTTGAAAAAAAATGAAATTTCTAAAAGTTATCTCTGAAAACGCTTATGTGAGCTAAGCGTAATCTGACATAGGCAATACCATTCCACAATATTTTCTCCTAGGCAAGACTATAATGTCTTTATAAGTGCACGTGAATGTAGAATATTTTGGAATTTTCATTAGCTTTTTAATTTGTTTTCTCTTGGACATTCATAAAACTTTTTATCTCATCTTTGAAAGCTGTTAATCTCAAAACATACCCATTATTTACAATGTAACATCATTTTCAGAGGAATGAATTTCAGTACGTTTCTTAGCTCTTGGTCAAGTTATGTCTAGTCAAGTCAATATTACCTGACATTGAGAAATACATTTTTTCCCTTTGGTTCCCACAGGATCAGCACCTCAGCATGCTAGAGTATCATGTGCCGGTCACCGCAGGAGGAGTAGCAAACATTTTTGATCTGCTGGAAACCAACAAGACTGCTTTAAATATCACAAATTTCTTAGTGAGTCAGACTACTCTGGAAGAGGTAAGCTGGATACCATGATCCATGTGCACAATGTCACATAAATTATTATACATTCTGATTATTGCTTTTTAATGACATTGAATTTGTTTTTGATTGAAGCAGTATCTAAACTTGCACCTGAAAAAGTTAGCTTAATTTATTTCTAAGTGCATTTGAGGATGTTAGGAAAAAATATGAAAAGAGTTAACTATTTTTAATGGAGAAAATATTTTTTTCCTTCTATAAGACATCTGTACCTATCAGTTATCTGTATATGTAAAGCAACAGTTATTTTCATCTATAAAACAAATAGCTGTTAACACTTTCCTTACTTTTTCCTTGGTAGGTTTCTTAAATAACATTTCTATTGATTGGCTTCCTAGATTAGGGGAGGATGGAGTTATCTAGTGAGAATTTGGTGCCAAAGCTTTAGATCTGCTAGATTCAGGCAACCAAAGTGGTAAATGCAGGATTCTTTTGTTTCATTCACATCATCTGTCTTAATTACATTTATATTCGATAACTCGAGGCATCATGGAACATCCTTCATCACCTTTGCACTGTTTTAGTTTTATACAGTTCAACCAACCTGATATATAGAACATTTGATTGGACCTATCACTGGAATGGGTCTGAAAGTGAGGCTACAGAGGCCTCTGAATCATGCTGCATCTCATGGACAATTTTTTGTGGGAAGTTAAGCAATTATGGCCTTACCAACACAGAAGATTTATCCTTTGACTTGTAACCAATTACCAGTATCATGTCTGGCACAAAGTAGACTCTCAATATTTTCTGGATGAATCTATGACTAATAGAATTTTAAACAAAGTCATAAAGTTCTGCCTGTTAAATAATAAGCTTACTGAACATAATGTTAATGTGAGCTTTGTATACAAATTTTATTTTAGTGCATTAACTGTTGAAACTAGCGAACCTCTTGAAACTAGTGAAATTTCTCTCAACATCATCATACAAACATTTGACAAGGGCTTGGTTTGGGCTCCTTGTTAAAAGATACTTGAAAGATACTGATACAGATCAAATAGATACAAATATGTGGCTATAGATATTTAATTATAGCTTTAGATTTATATTATGATTATAAATGTATTTATAGTTGTAGATATAGATATTATTTTCAAACCCCAGATAAATTTCAATACCTAAAGGAAGGACTCCTAGTGAGAGTTTGTTTCTGTGTTTGGGTGTGCCCCTATGACATCTAGTTTTCTTCTTATTAGCTCTCCCATTGTGCATACACACACACCTTATTTCTTCCTTTGGTTTACCAAGTACTAATGGCTTTATTTCCCTTGAAAAATCAGGTTTTCATCAACTTTGCCAAAGACCAAAAGTGCTATGAAACTGCCGATACCAGTAGCCAAGTTTCCACCGTAAGCACTGACTCACAAGATGACCAGCTGTAGTCTTAGTACCTCCAGCAAACTCAGTCTCAACAAATGCCAATGGCTTCATTTTGAGGAGCCGCAGAAGATACAAATTCCTCAAAATATCTTAATTTTAAAGTATTATTCTGTATTGGAAAGTTACAATTGTGCAAGACTAGCCAGTAACTATAAATGGAAAGTTTTCTTTCTAAGGTCAGTGAATGTTTTTACTACTGAAATGAATTTCTGTCTACTCAGCACTGTGAGCATGCTAGTGTGTAAGCTGCTGACTCTTATGCAAAGGTGAAACCTCTGAAGATGAATGCCTTAATTTATTACTTTCAATAAAAAGACAGCTTAAAAGCATGGCTATTAGCAGTTGAAAGGAAAGAGTGGAGAAGAAAAGTAAGGTAGTTTGGGGTAGGTAGAATTGGGAGAGCAAACAAAATAATTTATTTTCAGAAAATAATAGAATGAACATCATCATGAATACATGAATCTATTGTGATGTGTAGAGTGCCAAGGGCCAGATTAACATTGGCAGTAATGAGTGGGCACAATGTCTAGAGTGTTTGTGTATGTCATCTTCAGTACCTGTAAATACATGGGGACATACTGACCCCCCCGAAATGCCTTTCTACAAGAATGCTATAGAAGGGCAGTTTACCCTGGTGGTAAATAGAGCTTAAATCGATTCCTGCAGTGCCTTGCCAATAGTAAGGCACAGAGCAGAGCAAGAAGCTACTTGCTTTTTGGCGGAAATAGGTGTGTCAGCTGGGCAGATACAAATCCTGAATGATGATAGAGAATTCATGCGCTGCTGGCAGACAACATTTTTTAAAGCTGTTAAAGAAAGGTTCATATTCTGGGTCTCTCTGAAGGAAACATTCCTGTGGAAGGAAAATGAATATGAAGATAATTTTCAGCTAATTACCCGGCTGACCCAGAATCATATATATGGCTATAGAGTAGACTTCATAATAATGCCAAATTATATGGCCCTTGGGGGAGGTGCTTTACATAACATGTGTGTGTGTGTGTGTGTGTCTATGTGTCTATATGAGTTTGCTTTGGCACATCTGTTTTGAAAATCAATAAAATCAACATTTAGTAAAAACAGTTCATGAAGTCATTTCATTTGTTAGGGAAGAGCCAGGAATTTAAAACTTGGAGTCACATGGATGACAAGCTCCCATGGGACCTGGCCCCTGCTTACTTCTGCACCTTCACCACTTTCTTTCTCCTCTTCCTCTTTAGGGTCTACTAGCCATGCTGGCCTCTTTTTGGTTTTGCCAGTGCACCAAACTCCTTCCTCCCTCCACACCTCTGCATGTATTTTCATACGTCTCCCTGTGTGAAATGCCCTTCGCCTAGCTAAGTCTTCAGAAATGTTTTTCTTTCTCAAAGAAGCTTTCCTTCCCTAATTCTTCAGTTTAAATCCAATCCCCCAGTCCTAAAACTGTACTCTATTGTACTTCCTAATTTTCTGTGAGAGCACACATCCTAATTTGTAATATATCTAGATTAATGATATATATCTTAACAGATGGCAACAAAATTTCTCTTAAGATAGAAAATATCCTTGTTGAATATAATACATAGATAAGCTTTTTGGAGTAGACAGTGTAATTCTGAGAGGATGAGTGTCTTCAGCGGTCCAAACAAGCAAAAAAATGGTCAGGCTCCATGAGAGAATAGAGGGATTTGTTTATTGTTCATTGTGTTTGTTATTGTGGTGGTTGGTTGCTTGCTTCTGAGCAGTTGTAGGAAGAGAAACACAGGGGGAGGAGAGAAAGGAAATGGAGAAAGGAGGAACCAGTGAGATGGTAGAAGGCTGAGTATTGAAGAGAAACTGAGTATTGAGAAACTGAGTGGTTGAATGGACTTTTAAAACCATGAATTTCCAAATGTTTTCACATTCGTTTGCTGTGCAGCCATGCTGTGGACTGTCCTCCTACCCCTAAATCTTGGTTAAAGTCAGTCATACTTACTAATGCTTTATGTGAATGAGTGTCTAGTGGAAATTGAGGAAAGGATGAGTTGTCTTCTTTGAAAGAGGCACAGAACAATGCCTGCTTCACCCCAGAGCAGGAGAAGCCTGGCGGGAGGCGAGACCATGAGTCGGAGGGGTCCGGATATGTGCTGAGCGGAGCTTCTGACCCCCCAGGATGTGGATCTGGGAGGTTCCAGCCAATCTCATCTACCTCTCAGTAGGCAGGGAAGTCCAAGCTGGCCTCTGGATGACATGGATGGCACTTTTGAGTGTTTATTTAGTATTTCTCTCCCTCACTAGACATGAAGCTCTATGAGGATAGGAGACCTACTTTGATCTTCCTAGTTTTCCCATCAGTACCTACACACACGATAAATATTTGTGGTACTCAATAAAGATTTGTTGGTTAAATAGATGAATAAATAAATGAATGAGAAACAAAAGAGAAGCAGGCATGGTTGGTATGGAAACCAGGCATCTTTATTCTGTTTAAATCTATGAAATTCAGTGAAGTTTCCCATGAGGTAGTTTATTCATGGAGAAGAAAAAGGAAAGATGACGCTTTGTTCCATAATACAGATATTACAGTGTATCCACTGGAATAGGAGGATTTGGGTACCTTCTTTGGGAATGGAATTCTAATGCTTTGCTTCTGTACATTCCTGCACATTTATTTCTTCTTTGTCTTTTTGTCTGTGAGGATGTACTGTATGAGTTTTACAGTGCATTTTTACATATAAGTAAGGAACGTACATAAAAAACTATTTGAACCCACATCCCTTGGGGCTTCTCTGCAGTAGAGAAAATGTTTTGAGAATTCCCAGTTCTTGGAGGACTGCCTCCACTCTGGATAACGCGTACAGATTCTGCTTTTTCGTATGAGTTACCTAAATTACCTCTGAGGATTGTGGCAATCTTCACCTTACGTATAAAACCTGATTTTCATAATATTAAAACACTTGGAAAAATGATATGTACAACTACCTTCTCCAAATATGCTCTCTGCCCGAATGATTCATTCTTCTCCTCAGAGATGATAATTCCCTAGACAACAGCAAATGCCCTCCTGGGTGAGGGTGAGGGTGATGCAGCAGGCTTGCATGCTCTTACCTCGACAGGAGCCTGGGAGCCTGCTTGCTTCGTTAAAGTACAATTATCAACATAAGATTTTAAGTATAATAACAGCAAGCTAAAAGGGAATGATATTATTTCCTTTGGCATCATTTGTGACACTTAATCTTATCCCTCCCTTACTTATCAACCCAGACCGGTTTTCCATAATCTGTAGAACGAAATGCAGACTCCTTAACTGACCCTCAAAGAATCAATATTTCATAATACACCCCACCACGTCCACCTCTCTTCCTCATGTACTCTACGCCCAACTTCAATGAATTGCTTGCTATTTCCTATTATGACAGATCTTTTCGCACCCTTGTGCCACTTTGCTCTTGTGCCACTCCTTTCTCTTGAAAGACCTTCTCCCTGTTCCCACTCAGCTTTTATGTAGAAACTCCTCTTCTTCTTCACGTTTTCTTTAAGGAAATCTTCCCAGAAAGCCTCAGGCAGAGTTCATTGTTCTATCCTCGTTACAAAAGCATTCCGTGCAGGCCTCTGCAGCAGTGTTTCCCTGCTGGATTATAATCATCTCTATACCATCTTTCTCTTCCCATTACACTCTAAGTTGATCAAGAGTAGTGACCTGTTATTCCTTCATCGTTGTATCTGCCATACCCAGCAGAGTACCAACTATTCTTGCTCAATAAATCATTGAGACACCAAAACGTCTGTTTCAATGTAGAAATATTTTCATAATTTTGCTCTAAATTTTTTGCAGTTATGTTTGTTTTAGCTTTAGAAGACTAGCTATTATAATTTAATGTTAACTGCTAGGGAAAAATGTTCAGATAACCAGACATTTTACATTGAAATGTTGTTTCTGCATAAAGCACAGATGCTAAGCAGTTAGGGTGGGCAGATGACCCAGGATGACCAGAGTACCTAATTTCTCGCGACCACTTTGATTACTTTAGAGATTGACACATGACTCCAGTAAAATTAGTCAATCATCCTTGAATTAATCTTTTCTGTTTCTTTGTTTTATTTTTATTTTTGAATTTTATTTTATTTATTTTTTTATATAGCAGGTTCTTATTAGTCATCAGTTTTACACACATCAGTGTATACATGTCAATCCCAATCGCCCAGTTCATCAGACCACCACCCCCACCCCTGCGGCTTTCCCCCCTTGGTGTCCATACGTTTGTTCTCTACATCTGTGTCTAAATTTCTGCCCCACAAACCAGTTCATCTGTACCATTTTTCTAGGTTCCACATACATGCGTTAATATACGATATTTGTTTTTCTCTTTCTGACTTACTTCACTCTGTATGACAGTCTCTAGGTCCATCCAAATCTCAACAAATGACCCAATTTTGTTCCGTTTTATGGCTGAGTAATATTCCATTGTATATATGTACCACATCTTCTTTATGCATTCATCTGTCAATGGGAATTTAGGTTGCTTCCATGACCTGGCTATTGTAAACAGTGCTGCAATGAACATTGGGGTGCATGTGTCTTTTTGAATTATGGTTTTCTCTGGGTATATGCCCAGTAGTGGGATTTCTGGATCATATGGTAATTCTATTTTTAGTTTTTTAAGGAACCTCCATACTGTCCTCCATAGTGGCTGTATCAATTTACATTCCCACCAACAGTGCAAGAGGGTTTCCTTTTCTCCACACCCTCTCCAGCATTTGTTGTTTGTAGATTTTCTGATGATGCCCATTCTAACTGGTGTGAGGTGATACCTCACTGTAGTTTTGATTTGCATTTCTCTAATAATTAGTGATGCTGAGCAGCTTTTCATGTGCTTCTTGGCCATCTGATGTCTCCTTTGGAGAAATGTCTACTTAGGTCTTCTGCCCATTTTTGGATACAGTTGTTTGTTTTTTATAATACTGAGATGCATGAGCTGTTTATATATTTTGGAGATTAATCCTTTGTCCGTTGATTCGTTTGCAAATATTTTCTCTCATTCTGAGGGTTGTCTTTTCGTCTTGTTTATGGTTTCCTTTGCTGTGCAAAAGCTTTGAAGTTTCATTAGGTCCCATTTGTTTATTTTTGTTTTTATTTCCATTACTCTAGGAGGTGGATCAAAAAAGATCTTGCTGTGATTTATGTTAAAGAGTGTTCTTCCTATGTTTTCCTCTAAGAGTTTTATAGTGTCCGATCTTACATTTAGGCTTGAATTCATTTTGCATTTATTTTTGTATGGTGTTAGGGAGTGTTCTAATTTCATTCTTTTACATGTAGCTGTCCAGTTTTCCCAGCACCACTTATTGAAGAGACTGTCTTTTCTCCATTGTATATCCTTGCCTCCTTTGTCATAGATTAGTTGACCATACGTGCGTGGGTTTATCTCTGGGCTTTTCTATCTTGTTCCATTGATCTATGTTGCTGTTTTTGTGCCAGTGCCATATTGTCTTGATTACTGTAGCTTTGTA